TTTAGAAACGATTTGAATCACGAAGGACCAATTTAATAAAATAAATAAATAAATCGACCAAACTACTGTATATAAAAAAAAATGATAATGCACACTTGCAAGAAACATCTATTTATCGTCACATTCTGTCTCATCTTTATTGCACTCACCTTTATTTGTTCATTTGCAATCGCCGAAACTCCACCACCATTGCCTGTAACAATACCACAAATGGGAAATCAAGCTCCAGTTGGTATGTTCACACCCGAAATGACAATTACGCAAGGTGGTGCCTTTCTTCCTGGAGGTGGAGCGATTCTTGCGGAACCTATTCCTGAATTGGGAAATCTACCTGTTCCTGATCCGGTAATGGAAGGGGCACCAGCATTTATTAATCCAAACAAGCTTAAAAAACGATTTTTCAGAGCTTAAAATATACAAAAAGTTTGAATAATTAATAACTATATCAATAGTGAAGGACTCTATTTCCATAGAAATGAAGCCGAAATTATCATTCTTAATACATATATTTATATTATTATTTAGTTTAACAAATTTTGATAATACGTAATAATCTTTAAAATCGCGTTAAAAACCCCTATCTATTTTTTTATTTTTTATTTTATTTAAATATTAATTCAATACACATACAAACTCTGTATAATTATTACATATAGAATTCAATAAATAAGTAAACAAAGTATTCTTTACCAATCAATGATAAGTTAAATACAACTATATATATATATATATGCATGCTACGTAAAACAAAGTATTAATATATAGATATTAATAATTTTTTTTATACAAACTCATAATCATCATCACTATTATCAGATCTAAAAGCTCCATTTTCATTATTTCGTTGACTATTACCATTATTACCATTACTACCATTACTACCATTAATACCATCAGAGATAAAACTTAATAAAGGTTGCATCTTTGCATTTCTTAACCCAATAGTATGTTGAGCATCAGGTCTCATATCAATTTCTAATAATGTTCTACCTGCTGTTGTTGCAGGTGGTGAATATATTTTTGGTGAATTTGCAATCGGTGTATCTATTGTTAGTAGTGGACCACCACCTAATTTTCTGTTTACCCGATCATTCTCATAATGTTCTTTGCTTTTTGCCAATAATGATCCTTTATGAAAACGAACTCCTTCCTCTATTTGTATTAAATGACCTGCAAGTGGTTGAGAAGGTTGACTAGTTTCAGGAGGACTTTTACTTAATAAAGAACCCTTTTGAAATTTAACTGAATTAAATGTATTATTTCCGTTCAAATCTTTGACATGAATTCCTCGACGAGATTTTTCTCGTTCCTTTGCTTGTTCGAATAATGAATCATTGGATGCTAACAATGAACCTTTTGCAAAAGTAACAGCTTCTACTTCTACAGCTTTAATTGGTGGATTTTTCTCATTATAATCTAACAAGGAGCCACCTTTGAATGGTCCGGAAGATTGATTCTTTCTTGATTCCTCAGCGGGTGGAGAAAGTGGATTTGATGTTTCATTTTTCTTAAGCTCTTTGGTATTTAGTTGAGGAGTCGTTGAGGGACGACCGGATAAAGAATCTGCAAGTTTTCCGGAAGGACTATACACATGATGGCGTAAGGTATCCCATTGACTAGTGGTAGATTGTATTGTGTCTTGAACAGCTGTTCCTCTAGTGTCCTGTGCCGTCGTTGTTACTTGAGCAGGTGCAAATGGCTTCTGTTTTAAAGAAGTACCAGTAAGAGTTGCTAATTCAAATGAAATCTCGTTCATTAATGAAGTAGTCTGTATGAATAAGAAACACATAAGTTATTTATTAATGTATTTTATTAGATCATTTATTAATATAAAATTTATAATCAAACCTCAGAAATCGCAGCCGGTAATGCGTTAGTTAATGGCATGTCAAGATTAATCGGAGAAGATGTTTTTTCATTCTTAGAAGGTATTCCGACAAACAATTCAGGCCTTTCTCGACGCATTATATTATTCTAAAAAAAAACATAAAATTTACAAAATTATTTTAATTAAAATTTTGCAAACTTGAAAATTTATTTTTTAGGAAAATAAAAAAAATAAAATACTCTGGCTGTTCTAATGCTTAAAATCCAATTATTCATCATATCCAAATTATCCGCACATAAGAAACGAATATAATCATTCTCCGGATTTAAAAACATTGTAATCTTATCTTGAGATTTTAGTGCAAAAGCGAACTTAGTTTGATATCTTTTGGTTATTATCTGTGTGCAAGTATAGACATCAAATGATACCATTGAACAAAGGAACATTTCATTTGTTCCCTATTTTCGATGGAAAGAATTAAATATTTAAAAAATTAACATCTTTTTTTTTTTTTTTTTTCTTTTTTAAAATACTAATAATCCTTCATACCTTTAAATCCTTGCTGTGATAAATCGATCCATCTTTTATTTGAAAGTAACGTTTTTGCCATTTTTTCTTAATTTCAAGTTGTAAAAATCCGACCATTGGTGGCACTGTACTATTGAACAAGGAGAAACATACTTATCTCTACTTTAGAAAATCTATTATAACCTAATTTTTATTTTTATCTTACAA